TCAGGAACCTGACAATTAGGATTGTTTATCAAAGGGGCCTTGATTCTTGCTACATGTAAGTAATCCATCAGCTCAAGTTAAGTCTATTTGGGATCAGATTTTTTGAGCCTTACATATGAAAGTACATACTAGTTATGCAATGCCTTCAAGTGATATACCATGGAATGTCTCACGAGTCACTTGAATTTTCTCAGTATAAGCACAAGCCTTCAGGAGAGTGTGTATATCAAGAAAATACAAGTGACAAGTGGGATATGCCATGGTATACCACGAGAGACTGTTGTATAACTATTTTATATCATGCCATAGAAAATACAGTGGCCAATGTAATCAATGCAACATATGCATGGCACATGATGAGAAGGTTGAATGTAATACCATTGAATATACAACAGCTCCCCTGTATTTTGATTGGCTGTACTTTCTATTGCATGGTATAATTAATGATATCACACGAGATATCCTCCCATAGACTGATGGAAATTGGATGTAACCTCAATATTTTTGAACCAATATCAGTAAGTTCACCTTAATGATCACACTGTACACTATGTACCTCTATTCCACCTCTTGTATGTGTACAGTGTATGCCCAAATTAATCAGTTTACATATCATGGTTGTTCACTTTCAAAAGTTAAGCATTAGTTTGATTAGTATGTAATGAGATACCTCTATCTATGTACCACTTGGTTGATGCAATGAACTCTTTAACATCAGCCAAGATTCTTTCTGATATACCATCATCTAAAATAACAGAGTCTAAAGGCCTTTTGCGTCTTGGAAACCCAAACGGCCTCCAATCTGCCCCCATTGCTATATACATCACCGTTTTTCCCTCCTGTTTCTCAAGTGCCATGCGTCTTGCCTCGCTTAAGATATCAAAGAAGAGTTGTTTGTTTGTGGCAAGCGCTGTTAGAGTTACAGTTTCCCATGGTGCACCCGTGGTGAGATCAACCATTTTCTCTCGCGATCTCTCGACGCGCACGAAGCTGTTTTTGTACTTGAAAAAATGCAATCCTGGACTTGGAGAGAAATCAAAACGCGTGCTCACTTTGCCAGTTTCGTGCTGTTGATAGGTTGTCTCTACACTAAGATGTTGAGCTCTTTGACCCTGAGCAGCGATCCATTGTAAAATCCAGTGATAACTCTTGTCTTTGCTTGGAACTTCAAGCGTGATGATGGCGTATCGACGAAAAGCAGTGAAGGCGAACTGGCCACCTTTCTTCAACGCTGCAAGTCCGGCACCAACACCAACTAAGCCAAATCCAGCTGAAAAGTACGGATTGCTCCCCAAGGAAGCAATCAGGTCGGAGAGAGGCATTGGTCAGGTCTCGATTTAATTTTTTAAAGTAAAGATTACAAATATACACACATTCACTCCCGGTGCCGCCATGTGCAATTGCCCCTGAGCCCACAGTGCAAAAACCCGCGGCTTGCAGAATACGTGAAGTTCTAAAGACACTGTAATAAGGGATACATGACGTACTTAGGGAATACGTGTTGATCTTGTTGTCATGTATCCAATATGAGGTGTACCACTCTCTTTGTCACGCAACGTCGTTACGTGACTGAAAACGGAGGTACCTTTTAGTAAACTCTTCGTCGAAGCACTCACAAGTTCCGAATTTTATTATGAAATCATAAATAACACAAGTAACCCAAAGGTTGTCATGCCATCTTGACGCGTTGTACTGGGAGCTCGCTGGAAAATTCGCAAGGGGGTAGAGGTATATTGTATTCTCACGTGTCCTCTTTCCACGCCCGCAAACCTCACTCGTACGATCGGGTTGATGTTAACCTCCCTGAGAAGAACTAGCCGTAGCTCAACTACAGCAGCCTCCCATATAACAAGGACGGGGGTTCTCATCGTATCTCTAAGGGGTTGAAAAAGCGAGTTTGATGACTCTTAGGGTGTTCAGCCTCAAAACTTCCAACAGCTGGAGCTTTCGGGGTACCGTTTAGGGTATTGAGCCAAAACTGAAAAAGGCCAATGTTGCGTGTTGCTTTAATTTAGTATTGGCTCCTCTCAGGGGTGAAAAAAATTTCAAGCCACGCCCGCAAAAGAGGGTCTTGGTACCTTTTAGGAGTTCTTTTCCAAATTTGCGACCAGCACTCCCGTCCCCCTCCCGCCCCCCGCCCCCCACAGGGATGTAGCCTCGCAGGCTACAGTTCTCTACAACATTAATTTACTTGAAGTCTACATGCATGCAAATGATTCCGGAAGTGACTTTGCAGTGCTAGTGGCAGACAGAGTCCCACAAGTGACGAGTGACAACAGTGTAACGCAATCATCAAAGTACCCAGAAAATATTTACATTTGTTACAGCTGATGAGCCGAACGTTAAGCCGTTTCACCAAGAAAAAGCCAGTAATGGGTTAATTTTAACAAGTTTACCAAAACCGTTTTCTCCAGACGCATATAAGCAGATTTTAACCACATCGAATTCTCGTTTACCTTTCTCGAAGGATACGACCCTTGCCACGTAAGGTAGGAATTCTCAGCTGTGGGTTTGTTAAGATAACCCGATAACCCGATAAGGACTTTATTTTGTAACTATACACCGTCTTCTAGGTCCTCCATCAAAACAATGCCCCTCAGTCAAAAATCCTTCTGTTCAGAGGGGAATTTTTCCGCCTCGCTGCTGCCATGAAGAAAGAACTTGGTCACGACGCTCCTCGGGCATTCACAGTCCACCACTTCTTCACATGTCTTAATTTCGTTGTCTTGTTTATCTCCGTCGCTTCTCTGTCCTTCCATGTGAACATCCTTCGCAAGGAAATCGAGATCGTGAAAGCGGACGTACGTCCCCTGGTGGCGGAGAATGAGAAAATTGCTTCACGGCTGTATGAGGACTATTTTGACAGATCTCGAGAAGCTCGGCAAATTGAACCCGGGCCAGACGAATTTGAGGGTACCATTGAGCCCGAAGAACCGACTGAAGGCGAAATAACACCTGAAGTTAGCCCGGAACAACATGGAGCTACAATTGGAGCAACTAGGCTTAACTGCAGTATGGTACGCATCTCCATTCATTTTATTATTAACTTGTAAAATACATAATTAATATACAGCTAAACACTAGCGTTAGAGAAAATCATGAGGACGGGTCATGAACTTTTCAGGCAGAACGTTTTTTACGATTTCTTTAAAACTGTTATAAAGTGACTCAACTCCAGTTGCATAACTAGCTGCCTCAAGTAGTTCTCCCTGTCACGTCCATAGAATTCCCCCTCCCCNCCCCCCCCCCCTCTCCTCCTTTCGGCAATACATAACTAAAGAGCTAGCTAACGATAGCAGATAATAATGAAATCCACATTTTATCAATAGTTTCCATCTCGCGACGCAGTGTTCTTTCGAGGGACTGTACAAATTACGACAAACTACGATACTAATTCGATATAACGAGCTAAGTACAATTAAGTTAGTTAATGAGCTATAAAAATAATAGACCAGTGAAGGGTTAACTTAAGATCAGATATCATAGGTAGGTAATTTTTATGTAGTAAGCCAAAAATTCCTCATTTACTATTTTTGATAATCACAGAACACAAGGTATGTAGCATTCGGAATGTTTGCTTACGTTAAATAATTTCTTTTAAAAAAAGGCGCTATAATAAACCGCCCCTCGCTCCAGCTCACGAGGGCCTGCTCACAGGCCAGTCTAAATGAATGCGCGTACTCAGTGGAATCAATCAGCTTCTTTTTTTCGTGACCAGTACTTTTGCCCTTCAGAGGATCGCAACAAGAGAACAGAACTAAGCTGATACTTAATTAAACTAGGAACTCCATCAAAAGCATTTTTCTTCGCAAGAAAGCGGAGTAAAAATGATACTTTAAACATGTTGTTCGTCCTCCGTAGTCGAAGATGACCATGACATCTAGTTGGCTGTTGAGCTGGTACAGTGTATCCGAAGGTGGCTGATGAGGCCAATCCGGGCAAGGAAGCCTCTCCCACAGGTAGGGCAGAAGAGGGTAGGCGCTGCACTGTTAGCGCTGGTGGCTCTAGCCTTGCGTGCTTCCCGTTTCTGCTCAGCTTGAAGGGACCTGCGCTCCTCTGCTGCGTGGGCTCCTTTGATGATGTGATGGCGCTAGGAGGGTCTGTCCGAGGCGAGTGACTCCCAGGGTTCAGTGCTGATGTTAAAGTCTCGCGCTGTTTTGTTCCCTACCCCTCAATCTCCGTGTGTTTCCTCTCACCACAGAATAATATGTACTAGACATACTACTACACGCACTTGCAAGAAAACACACGTCAGGTCTTTGACAAAAAAAAAACAGAGAGGTTTCCTGGCATAGAAAAAGTATAATCTTTTTTAATAACCTTTTCGCCATTTAAATGACCCTCAACTTTTTTCCGTAATGTTATCTTTTTTCCTTTTTTCAGGATGCTGCAGGAAACAATATTTGTATCGTAGGTAAGTGATCGCACAAAGTGCACAGAATTACGCAGCTAAGTGCTTAGTAGTAGATCTCTTGTTCTACGAGTGAGATCAAGATCGCGCATCACCTGACCTAGAGAGATTCACTGACATTACAATTTAGCCTGGGTATCTAAGAATTTCATTTTTCATATTCAACCTCGCTCGTTGTTTTCTTGGCAAGGAGACAGGGAGGGATACTGAAGGCCAAACGCAGCGGCGAAATGTTTGTTTCGGGAGGGGGTTGGGGCTAGTTCGGTGTTTGGAAAGCTAGTAGTGCCAATAAATTCATTTTTTTGATTAGCATCAATAGCCATGCTGTCTGGTATGGATTGTTCTTTGAGCGTGCTTTATTGTCAACTTTTCGTCTGCTTTAATGTTAAATGCGCTTATTTATCCCACCCCCTTCCGCCTACGACCCCTCCCCGCCACCGTCTTTGTCCTTTCTAAAGCAAAAATACGAGGTTTTATTAGTATGAGGGTCGTACAGGGGAGGGGGGTCTCTGTCACGGTTCACGAACGGAAAAAATAGAGGATCACGGATCACGGATATAAAAATTTCGTTTTCCCGAATCACGAAAATAAGCAAGTAAGATACTTTTTTAATGACCTGTTCTTACACTAGAAGCAGTGTTTGAAGAAAGCAAAATCACGAATGGCTAAGTCAAGGCTCCATATTGCAAATGGCATACCTAGGTCACTCTCGATAGACGACTATAACCAATCGGAGGACTTCCCTCTGAAAATCACGTAGGATAGAGTGGTAAAATCACGAATATCGCCGTTAATAATTCAGGTTCTTCACGGGTCACGCAAAACCATCAGGTCACGAGTCACGAAGAATAATTTCCTTAATTCACGTTTCACGGAAAATAAAATCAGCTAATCACGCATCACGGGAATACCCCTGTACGACCTTCTAGTATGGTAAGGAAACCCCCAGCACCATCATTACCGTCGTGCGCCGCCGCCTTCGTCATCGTTATCATCATCCTCGGGCAAGAAGATATGATATCGAAGTAATTATGTCTTGGTAATCGTTGTTGGTTCTGTCTTTATACTGTAGTTAATGGTAGTCTACTGGGAAGTCCTTTTGCTCGTCAGGAGATGAGAGGATTCATCGAGTCCTACATAAACGAAACGTATCGTAAGTGAATTGTCATGCCTTTAACTGTCATTTTGCTAAACTGATAAAGGCCTCTTGGAGGGACTGTAAAGGGGGGAAGAGGTCGGTATTAGGGGAACTATAACCCCCCAAGAATTTAATTGTTTGGTTGGTTAGCATCAACTATGGTGTTTGGTATAGTTGTCTCTTTAAATGAGGTTTTGACACCTTCTCATGGTTTCTTTTCCCTTTCCTAACTTTTCTGATCTGAAGCAGGAAAACGAATATTGACCATGATGTCGATGCAGCGAATTATTTTCTTTCGAAACCCCTGACCAACAGCATCGGAATCATCATCATCTTCATCATCATCATTATCATCATCATCATCATCATCATCACACTATCGTCATCAAAGCATACAAGGCATCGTCAGTTGTCACGCAACACGACGCAATATCCAAGGAGGACTAGTCTCTGAGTTATTGTTGTTTCTTCCTTTGCACTGTAGTTGGTGGAAGTCTTCTGGGAAGTCCTGCCACTCGTCTGGAGATACAAGGATTCGTTGACTCCTACATCAACAAAACGTATGGTGAGTGAACTGTCATGCCGGTTGAACGCCGTAGAGGTCTTCTGTAGGGGAGAGTGGAGTGGCGAGGTCAATATTTAAGGAGCCACAAGTCTCATTAAATTTAATTGTTTGGTGAGCCTAAGTTATGGTGTTTTACCTTTAGTAGTGAATGGAAGTCTCCTAGGAAGTCCTGCTGCGCGCCAGGAGATACAAGGATTTGTTGACTCCTACGTCAACGGCACGTACGGTAAGTGAGCTATTACGCCATTGACTATTCCATTAATTGATTTCTCTCACTATTATAAACGTCAAGAACTCTAAATTTGGATTCGTTTTCCATGATCGTTTCCTTTAATATCAATTTGCAGGACCTGGGCTTGCTCAACTGAGCGGAAAAGCGCTGAATGACACAATCCGAAGCTTCATTAATGATCATGCTATCAGTTCCTTTGGTGAGTCATGGATAACCTACGAATAGTCCTTCTTTCGCTTAGTCCGTCGAGCGTAACCGTAAATTAACCGCGAGAAAAAATGGCCACGCAAAATCTTGGGGCCAAGAAGCGCGGGATTTCGTCCCCAGTTAGTTTGGCGCGGACATTTTTCCTTGCGGTTTCTTTCGCGTCACGCACGACGGACTAAGCGAAAGGGGGACTACTCGCAGTATAAGTCGTGGACTAATACAGTGACCTCCCTATTTGATTCTACATTCGATTACCATTTTGCTTTCCCAACTTAGGAGGACCAAACTAGGGGCAAGGTTAGCAAAATGAACTATTCCTAATTGGCTGTACTTTATTGAATAGCCAATACCAAGTCATTTTTAGACTGCAAAGCCTTTTAAATTGTACCTTTACTTGTGATTCCCTTTGCCCTTCTTTTTGCAGGAGGTCATGGTGGATTTTTTGGCAATGCTACAGGAAATTACACTCTCGATAGCAATTTCACCGGAATCTCGGATGAAGCAGAAGGTGTAAACCGTGCTATCGAACAGTATATTGGCGCATATGCATTAAATACCCTTGGTAAGAGCCAAAAGGCATTGTCTCGTAAATATAAGGCTACCTCAACGCTGTCATGGAACAATCCTTCGTCTAACAAACTTATCGATGTGTATGTTTCCAAAGCGCGCGTTTGTTCATTTAGTAATTCGATGATAGCTGATGACAAAATCGAAACTGATAGTACTACATTATTGGAAAAAAAATTAGTACAACTTCAATTTCGGACACAAAAAGTGTCCGAAAATAAAACCGTCTTTAATTTTTAAGCGTCCGAAATATTTACAGTACAGCATAAAATTTTTATGTAGCTCCGAAACTCTTATTTTCCGTTATATGGAGAGAACTCATCTCACTGCTTGAGATACGTATAACGGCTTGATAGAATTTGCGTTATTTTCTCGTCGGTGTATCTGTGAAACCTTGAAGGTGCAGTAAAACTATTATTTTCACAGATGTGAAATTCTAATTCGTGCTTTGTTGGCGCAAATTTGCTTCACATACGTTTCAACCAAGTGTCTGAAATCTTCGTCTGAAATTTGTCCGAAATGACACAAAAATATTGTGCAAGTAATGCGGTCAAAATATATTTTTCTAAAAGACATTTTATTCTAATAAAAGACATAAATCTGAAATTAGTCTTACACTAATAATAAATAAAATCTCTTGTTAAATAAAATTACTCTCCTTATATGTTGTGTACTAAGTCTTCTTGGATTTATCCCAGGGCCGTCATTTGTTCCTGGTGCAGCAGTTGAGTTAGAGCCTGGAAAGACAGTGCTGGATGCGTATCTGGGCGAAGCCGTTGAGCAAGCCGTCCAGTCTCACTTAGGAGGGGGAGGTGGAGCTGGAGCTGGGGGTGGTGGTGGAGCTGGAGCTGGAGCTGGTGGTGGGGGCGAGGCAGGTGCAGGTAAGTAAATGAATCATGTTTCGACAGAATAAAGGTTTTTTTTATTACCTTTTTATTGCTCAAAACAATTACAAGTACACTACAATTACAAAACAATCTACGCACATAAATCTACGTGTTACAATCTACATATACAATCTATAATACGTATTACAGTTTACATATATTATAAATCGACGCATTACATACCACAATCTTACAGTACGCTACTTACAGAAACAAAACACTCACTTACAGCCTTGACTCGCATTGACTTGCATACTCAGAAACACTTTGGTATGTCTCGCATGTCCCAAAGTTCTTCCGTCTAACTGAAACCACTAAACACCTTATTCTTGTTTCCAGGCTCTGCAGGAGGTGGAGTTGCGAGTGGGGAAATGAATCGGACCATCCAGCAGTTTCTTGGATCCTTTGCGCGGGAATCTTTCGGTACGCCACGCAATCTTAGCATTGTCTTGCATTAGGTTATGTTAGAAACCTTGAAAATGTTCCTGTCTACTTGATCTAGTGTTACCCTTGCATTACACTCGTTTGGTTTGG